TGCTCTGAGACAGATCTTCCAAGCGCCATCACAAGTGTGCTGTGAAATTTGTGCGCGAATCATTCGTTCACTTTGTGCGGGCTTTTCGTGGCGAAGCTCAGGTGCAAAAGAGATGGGACCGGCAGAGGTGGGGCCATTGCTTTTCTCATTCCCAGCAGTTTTGACATGCAACCCAATGCCTCAACTTGCGAGTTTGGCCTCGCACCGGTCGCATCACAAAGCAGCGCGGTCTCGGGCGGCATTTCGACAACTTGCACGGGCCTTGCTGATTCTCGCTTCATGGGGTCAACCGACAGCTGCATACCTCGCCAGGGCAAGCATGCGCTTCAGACCTTTTCAGAGGTAGCACAGCAGCTGGCAGCGGAATTGATGCTCTCCCACAAGGCAGAGTTGGACATCTGATTCTGATAGGTGTATTCCTTGTCCAACTCGTATAGTCTTGGGAGACAAGGTTTTGGGGCAACGTGCGCGAATCAACGCAAGTTGACGACGTGCATGAGCGGGGTGCGGGCGCAGGACAGCGCTTGGCAACCTATGACTTGAAGCAGCAGCGTTCAAGGCGTGTGCCGAGCCGGTTCGCATTGCCGCATTGCGATCTCGGACCCCTTGTGTGTAGTGTAAATGCAAGGCGTTGAACTCGCCCGAGTTTGGGTGCATGTTGGGCCATCGTGAAACGGAAGATCATGTTGGTGCATGCTGGTGTCAGGCATGCCCCAGCGCCCTTGCCAAACAAATTGTGTCCAGTACGTGCGCAGTCCGAGGCCACTCCTGCTGTGAGTCTATTTGAGGCATGGCAAGCCATGGGAGACTTCTGCAGCTTTGTGAACCTCAGGCTCTTTCACGCTCTTCTTCCGCACCCAGTTCACGTGGCAAGCGGGGTCCGCCACATCCCTAGCCCTTTCAGAGAGTTGCATGTTTCATGGTGTTTCATGATGTTTCATGATGTTTCATGCTGTTTCATGATGTTTCAAGGACTTGCGAAGCATAGTGAATGTTGCGAGGAGCCTTGCTGCGGCCGATGGTGCTTCTTTGTTCTTAAGCGATCAGACCAGAGGAGTGCATTTTGGCACTACACCAAGGCCAGGGTGCTGTTTCATTCTGTTTCCAGAAGTGCAAACAACACCAAGTCACAATCAAGAGCGTTCTTGACCATGCCCAAAACAATCTCAACCACTCTGCACAGGGCAGTGTGGTTGAGACTGTTTCGAGACTAGGCTCTATTTGAATGAGGTCTCTGTGAGAGGTTGAGTGTTTAGATCTAGTTTTAGGCTTCGGGGAGGGAGAGGGCGAGGAAGAGAGAAAGGAAGAGGGAGAGGGAGCGAGAGAGAGAGAGAGAGAGAAAGACGGAAAAGCAAAAAGAGAGAGAGGGAGCGTATGGCGGTCACGCCCGACTTGAACCGGTAGCATCGCAAAAGCACCACCCCAAATAACGTTTTAGCGGCACGTCCCAACCCAAAGGAGAAGAATCCACCCCAGCTGGCGAGGACAACGCACACCGCAACCCCACAAGCCGTGGACTGATCGTACCCTCAACAACAAACAACAATTACCACGTATACGGCATTGCCTGATGTCCACAGATGAACACAGGGGAAAGGGTTCAGCCAGTTGACTGCAGGGGCGAAGGGTTCAAGAGGGCTAAAAGCTTTTCCTCTGACCCAAACCTCAGTGAAGAGACGACCTATCTTTACCCTCAAAACGCACCAGGCCAATCCAGATGATAAGCCATGAACACCGAAATAGCGCCACGTCAGGTTGATACGGGATGTATGATAATGCGAGGGGTTGAAAGTCTCACCCATCTTTCCGCAGCCCACAGCCAGCATATGGGAAACGAGCCATTTGACAACGATACATCCCGGGCAAGCACGCGGTGAGGAGTCCATAAAAGCCATTCACTCCACCTCGAGGGCAGTAGCTGAGTGTCTTGGTTTCATGTTTTACCCAGGGGCCAGGTGCTCGAACCCGGCACATGGGCGAAACGGGAACCGGTGAGAACCTGGGGTGTTGCCATGGTTTGGTAGGTTGGTTCCCAAGCAGCCCAAGGAATGTTAAGGGCGCGTCTCATCAATTGACTCGGCGGACAACCCCCCATATTGGGACGGGCAAGGGGCGGCGGAAGGAAGAGATAGGGAGGGAGAGGAGAGGCAGAGAGAAGAAGAAAGACGGAGAGGGAGGGAGAGAGCGAGAGAGAGCGGGACAGAGAGCTGGAGAGAGGGGGAGGGAGAAGGAGGGAGAGAGGGGGAGAGGGAAAGAGGGAGAGAGGAGACAGGGAGAGAGGGAGAGAGGGAGAGAAGGAGAGAGGGAGCGAGGGAGAGCGTGAGAGAGGGTGAGGGGGAGGGGGGAAGGGGGAGAGAGGGAGAGGCGGTGACAAGTGGGTTCTTTCTTTGCCTCGCATTTGATAGTCTACGTTGCTTTGATCCTGCTTCCGTCTTGATTTGTTGTTTCCCATTTCGTCGACAACGATACCCAGAGTGCTCATGGGTGGCAACCGCGCTTGATCGTGCTTGAATGCTTCTGACTTTGCATGACTGCTTTCCGTGGCAGGGATGTGGAGGTCCTGCCGCAGAGTTTAGGGCCAGGTCCGGCACGACGGACGCTGAGAGGGCATGCGTCGATACGCGGGGGCTGCTTTGTTGCTTCAGTCTTGCATTCAGATCATTCAGGTTACGACGCAGGTACAGCTGCTTGCAAGACTTCGGCAAAGGCAGCTTCCCAAGATTGCAGTTTGTGCAATTCGGGCATCTCCGGGTTCCTAGGGCTCCTATGATTTGACTCAGGTCACTTTCGGAATTCCGAAATTCAACGTGGAGCCACGAAAAACCATGGAGGGCATGTACATGCGCGGCTGGGCGGGACCCGGCGTTGGAAAGTGCCTCGGTTGATCAGCGGGAATGCTGTCAAACGATGCTGGCATTGTTCAGTTTTTGCTGCGTGTCTTTTGAGGGTGTTGGCGCCGCCTTTGTTTTCCCACGCTACGCTTGAGATTATTCTGCAGCCTTTCCCTAAAAACGAAAATCGCGATGGATGCCAGCATAGTTTCTGACACCCACCATAGTGGGACTTCTTTCTGTCAGCTCAGCCGATATGCAATGCACAAGGCTAGCCACAGTTTGCAGCTAGAAGTCTATGAGCTGGTCTGTGTGCCACGGAACACTTGACACTTATACAGATACAGGAACGACATCTATGCAGGCTTCTGTAAGGGGTCCTAGCAACTGCGCGATGCCCGACGCTGCTAGGAAATTCAATTACGAAACATTAGGACGAACCACATTCAACCAGTGACAGAGACACATTCAGCATCTACCAATCTGCTTTACCGGGTTTACGGTTTCTGTTTGCTGAATGGTGCTTTCGCATTCTTGGTGAATGCGCACTTGTAAATGTTCGCCATCGTCAGCTGCAGCCCAAGAAGTAGGCGAAATTGGCCTCGTCAGGCCCAAGACTATTCAAGTTTTCTCTTCTCTCAAGGGCGGGGCGTGTCCTCCGTTCACTGCACATGCAGCGTCGGCATCTTTGCTTCCCGCATGTGGTGTCGGCTTATGCTGAACTGAATGTAACTGTTTGTAAAGTTTACAAAATGGCTACTGGGTCAAGCAGTGATACTTCTCGCAATTGGTGGCTTCTGGCTTTGTTGCTTGGTTGTTCACTGGCCGTGGCTGTCTCTACGGGCAGTCACTTCCAGCTTCGTCGCTCGCTCATTGCGGCTAAGTTGTATGAATGTGGCTAAGTTGCATGAATGTGGCTGTTTCAAAAGTTGATTTTGCCAACAGGGTGGGCCGGTGATATTCTGCTCGTGCGGCTGATCGCTTTGTCGCTTGCTTATCGTGGCTTGGTTTCTCGCTGACTGTGGCCGTTTCTATAGTTGATTTTGCGAAGCGGGGGGTCAGGCATATGCAGATGCATTGCAGCTGCATTGCAGTTGCTACATTGCTACACTCATCACGAACTTCATTTCCAAGAAGCTTTCGCCGTGAAAGTAAACGTCAGCAAACACAAAACCTGTAGTGGAAACAGGCTTGCCATTGTGCCCCTTGAATGTGTCTCCAGCTGCACCCGGTTGGATCGCCCTCGTATCTTTCCCTGATGTTGCCTTACGCAGTAGCACTCTTGTGCAAGCCGGCGTGCTGTCGCTTGCTGTCGCTAGCTCCTCTACAAAGGGCAGGCATGTCTAACTCCCTGCGGACAGCTTCCCGGCTTCCCGAACTCTCTCCCTTGGCACATGTGCACAGTAAAGCCAGGCCCCATTCAGTTGAGCAAGTTGCTGTGCAGCATGTGTGTTGGGGCAGTGTTTATGGCCGAACGCACTGGCAAAACATCAGATCGGAGTTGGTGAGATGTGGCTGCTCTGCTAAGATACAACCCACCGCTGCGCTCACGCTCAAGGTCCCTTGCTGTTGCGGATTCCGTTGCAAGTCAAGCCTCTTGGACATCAGCCTGGCAGGGGTGGCAGCTTCACACGTGCATCTCGATGGGGGTCAAGATCAGCAGGCACGAGCTCAGAAGGGCAGATTGATCACTCGAAAGACTACTGCAAGATGTGCAAGGTTGAGCCGAGTTATGCCGTTTTATGTCTGTCCTGCATGCTGCAGACATGAGGTGGCTTGCCTGGGACTCTTCCAAGCCAGTCGCCTGGCCCTATGAGCTACAAGCCGAATCATGCCGCTTTGAGCACTGTCCACTGATATCACAAAACTGATCAAAGGTGTAAAGGTGTCACAAAGTAGGAGGCCTGTACAGTCCATTCTGGGACCGCGTGTCCACAAATATTGGCCACGTGGTCAGAAGAGACCCACAGTCAATGCCAGTTCCCCTTCGCACGAAAACAGCCGGCAATGACTGCACAATGTGCAATGTTCAACAAGGAGTTGCCAGGGCCTCGGTGCTACATGTAGGCTTTGGCCATGTCAAGCTTGATGGGCTTTGAGCGGAGTGTGTGGGCTGAGTCTCTTATGAAGGCTCAAGTGGGCTTGGACTGCCTAGTATCAGGGTGCAGGATGATGGGTCGAGTTTCTGCTGGACCTTTGCCCCTGCAGCGTGCTCGTGAGAAACTTTCCAGCCTGCAGAGCGGCCCTTCTACTCCGACAAGCAACTTGCCCGAGCAGCACAGGCTTTCCGCAAAGTCGCTGTTAGCACTTGTGTTGCTGAGATTCGGCAGATTTGTGCTTAGAAAAGAATGATGAGAAGGAGGGCCTGTTACACATGCACACGCGCGGCGTAGCACTCCCATCGCTAAGGTAGCCTTCGAACCACAACGAATCGATCGGGTTCGCCCCCTTCTCCTACGGCTTCTTCCAACACTTCTAGGCAGGATGGTGCTGAGGAGCCGCGTGGAGAGGGACCTGGTGTGGAGGCGAGAACTCCAAAAGTACTCTGGGCAGCCACTCCAACCCCGAAGGCCACTGATGCCGCATACAGCTTTGCCTTGCCACCTGTCGACTCTACAGCGGTGGCACCTTTGTCTGCGTGCCTGAACGCAGATGCAAAGGTCTTCGTACCAGTGGTTCAGCAATGCGGGAACAGTGCCAGAGCAGCACGTGCGCTGATGCCGGAGGATCTGCCTGTGAAACCGAGCCACCACAAGGAGTATGGCTCGGAGCACCTAGAAGCCCAAGCAGTCATGATGGCAGAGTCGGTTTTGGGCCTTGATTCAGAAGGAGCGCTTGCACCGACTCCGGACACCGGCAACAACAGCAACACCAGCAACGCCGGCAACACCGGCAACACCGGCAACACCGGCAACAGCGGCAACAGCGGCAAGCAAGAGCCAGTTCAACCGACAGGACCGGTCCCGTCGAAAGGCTCGGCTCTACACAGTTCTGGCCAGTGCCGCCCGTGTGCTTGGATGTGGAAGCCCAAGGGGTGCCAGAATGCCGAGAATTGCGAGTACTGCCATCTATGCCCCGAAGGAGAGTTGAAGCACCGCAAGAAGATCAAAATCGCTGCAATTCGCATGGGAGCCCTGGGGCCATCCTCCCAGGAGAGGGCTGGAAAGGCAGCACCTCGAAGAGATTTGAAGCTCTCGTCTCTGCTATGATGGCTACAAAGGCCAAACTTTGGCTAAATGGACGAATATCAATGGTGAGGTAAGCTAATGTGCGATCGAATAGGCTGCCTGCCCAGTGCCCCCGTATCTGCCGTATCTTGTACCGTGCTTGCTTACTCACGTCGGTGGTTTCGGATGCGGAACAAGTGGGCAGGCAGCATTATGCACGATTTTGCGTGGCTTGCACAGGCAGCTCTACTGCGCAGAAGACGCAGCAGAAAAGTCCGCAACCATCATCTGATTGCGAGCGTTGAGTAGGCATGCGGCTGCTGTTCCTCAACTCTAAGCTGCAAGCACAAGCTGTGTGGAATATTGTTTGCAGTTTCGGTCTTTTACTTGAGTCTACTTTCCTTTATGCTTGAGACCGGCATTCAATGACACTAAGACAAGAGAGGGGAGGGTGTTGCAATGTATTCGTCTCTTTGTAGTAGGCTGTTGTTCCATTCAGTTCGTACTGCTTGTTGCCGGAGATATATATTGGGGGCATGGGCATTGACCAAAAAAGCACGCAGAAGAACATTGCAGGAAGGAAGCCAGATGCGAAAAGTGTGGTTTTTTCAAACCACGCAGTGTCCACGACGGCCAAGTTAGACGGACGGCACTCGCGCATGCAGAAGCGTTACAAAATCTCCAACATGCTTGGTTTTTCTTGTCAAAACATAGCAGCGAAAGAATCTTGGGAAGAGGCTGGCACCGCAGCGAGCCCAAGCGACCTTCCATCATGCGACGGTGTTGTGGTGCGAGATGCGACGCACGTGCACAAGCGCGGGGACGATCCAGATTCGATCGCACCGGGTTTTTGTCGACCAACATCATCTGACGAGCACGGCATATTCATTTTGCTGCACCCGGCAAATGCATTTCGCAATGCTTTCTCCTCGTGCTGTGTGGGGGTTCATAGATGCTGCCCTATGCGTAGGAACAGGTTTCGCCATTCCGCAGCAAGCCTGAAAAGGCTCGGGATGAAGACGAAGACGAACGCATTGTTGTAGCCTGCATTCGGTCGGGAAAAAGCAGAAGCCTCGGGTGCCCGAGGGCCATGTGCAAATTCATGCCGGGCCCACTGCCAAGATTTGGGCTTACTGCTTCTGGGTCTCTTTGGCTTTTTTTTCTTCCCCAGCACTGAAACCAGTCCAAAATCAACCTGCCGGCCTGAACGCTTGTCTATCGCAGAATGAATGGACAAAACGCTTGGAAGCACGTGGAAAGCGGTCTCACTGACTATTGGGAATTGTTCATGCATTTAAAGTTGCCGTCGTGCCAATCGAACAACGGATTTGGCATTTCCCTGGTGCTGAAGTCTGTGGCTTGGCTGATTCATGGATTCTGTGGTTTCTCTTGTGCATGTTCGGGAACAGACCCAGTTCTGAAACGTCGGGAAGGAATTGTGCCTTTTCGCAGGAAGCCGCAAACTAGGAGCCACCGGCTAAAGCTGTTTGGGGGAAAGAAGGAGACCGCAGTCCCAGACAGGCCTCACAGCATCCAACGTCGGGACAGTTAATCGGGAGACCTCTGGGAGACTTTTTTTAGAGCAGGGTCGTGAGAAATCCAAATAAATGTCGCAGAAACCTTGTCTTTCATCTAATTCAGAGCCCCCAGCAAAAGCCGCTTGCTGAAACGGTCCCGATTACACCGTATGTTTCTTTCCATGGCTTTGTGTCTGGCGACTTCTTTTTGACCCTTTTCCTTGCTTGACTTGTCACCTCGATGACTTGTTTGTACCCTGCCGCGTTCTTGCAAAGTGGCAACACCTTGGACGCTGAGAACGTGACTGCGGGAAGACCATGGGCTAGAAAATCATGTAGCACGTGCCCAGAATCTCAGAAATTGACCGTGTCCTGCCCGTTCTTGTATCCGCATGTCGCACAGGATGCAAGTTTCTGTCGGCAAATTTTTGGCTGGCTTCCTCCCCCGAAGCGTCAGCCCTTCAGGAACCTTCAGCATTTATCAGTCTGAATTGCTTGTGAGACAGGGGGCGCATCGCATGCATGGTTCGCAGATCCTCGTGTTTTGAAGAAGTTTTTGTGTGTCTGTGCGTCTTAGGAGTAAGACTGAAAGCAGGCAGTGAGCACAGCTGCCATGGATCCATCTCGACGCCTGAGTTTCGGGCCTTGTGTCTGCGTACTGTTCATCATGCTGGTTGGCAGGCGAATTCCCTGCATCAACTGGTTGGGAAGCGCTTGGGATGTTCGGCTGAACGCCGGCAGGTCATCGCAACTTTCGGACTCAATGGTGGACAACGGTTTGTCAGCACCGACACGGGACAGGCAGCTGTCCACGCTCGCAGCGCAGCGTGCAGCTGATGTGAGCGCTGTGGCCACTGTGGGGTCCCAGGATCTGAACTTGTATGGCCAGCCGCTCCAACCTTGCTCCCAAGAGGGAGATACAACAACAGGCTGGACTCGGACGGGCTCTTGCGCTTGGGAGCCTTCGGACCGTGGATATCACCAGGTTTGTGTTACCATGAGCCGCCAGTTTCTGCAATCCAGTGCAAAGTACGACTCGAACGACCTTTCCAGTGTTGTCGGGGAAGGTGGTCACTGGTGCATCTGCGCATGGGCTTGGGCGGCCGCGGTCTCTCGCGATCCTCAACACTTTGAGAATTTGAGGCTAGATTGTGCCAGAACCAATGCCTACCTTCGTGACGTGTACAGGAGCTATTCCGCCTCTGGCCGTGGCATGGCGTCACCATCAGGCTTGCAATATGAAGCGCAGGCAGCTTTGGAAGCCGTCGAGCAGCTGTGCAGGGCTGACAAGGCGTGAGTTCCTTTCGAAGGAGCCGGCAGGGAATACAAAAAGTTGCAACGAAGCACCCAGCCCCTGCATGCCCCTTCACGGCCCTGCATTTTGCATCAATGCTAAATGCTCTCATGTGCTCTCTTGGGCGCTGCATTTCCGCAGGTTGAAGGCTACAGTGTCCATCAGTGCCTTTAGAGGTTACTAGGAGCTTGGCGGCATCATGGTCAAGCTTGACGGGCGATGCTTATGCGTGAGGTGCTCAGGGAGGCTATGTGAGGCTGTGTGAGACTCTTTGAGGCTGTGTGAGGTTGTGTGACCCGGCATCAGCAGCTTTGAGCGAAGCCATCAGTGATCATTGGTCCGATTGTCCACGCTGTTGGCATGCGAAGGTCCAGCAGTGCTGCTGCATCAAACTGCCGCCTTCTCCTGCGGGGCTCCTACAGTGTCCTGCAGTTCCCGCATGCAGTTTCAGCGTAGGTTGGCTTGTTGATGTGATTTCTGGAGAGGTTGGTGTGACTGATCACATCCGCCAAGTGGTCACCACCCTCCCAACGCAAGGTGGATGGGTGGATGCGAGGGGCTGGTTCACCGCAAGAATCCCCTGCCACAAAAAGCAATGTTATAGTGGTGTTATGATGGTCCATACTGTGCGTGTTCCGCATGGCACTATGGCACCACGATGCACCAAGTTGGCCAGGGTGTGATGCATCGCTGTGTGAAGAGAGGCTGGAAGCGATGGGGGCAATTCTAGTGAAAGTCACTCGAGTTGAAGTATTGCTAGTTGCAATCTTGGCATGGCCTTGCCATGCTTCACATGGGCAGGTCGTGCACACCACCAAGAAGCAGTGAGGTCCCCTCGAAGAGTTTTGGCTGCAGCTGCGCGGTGTGAGGTTCGAAGGAATGTACTTTTTCCTTAATGCGAAGTTCACTTTTCTAACGTTGCTTCCGAGGCCCGTTGGCGTGGTCACATCACTGGGAGCAGGACAACGACACGAAAAGCCCAGGCGATAGGAGCAGCTTGGAGCGTTGATGTTTTGGAAAGTTTCGGTTATCTTGGTGCGTCGAGCGCCTGGCAGTTTTCTGAGAGCTCGGCTCTTTCGTTCCCGGTCCTACGGTGAGCAGCACACTCTATAAGTCGCGGCAGAATCTAGCTTGTGCAACCGAAGTTAGAAGGCCGCGAGCAAGAGTTCATAGATCGCTGCACCCTTGAGTCCGACCATCTTGACAAGTGCGAGACGGGCCTTTTGTTGAAGCGACAAAGGTTCATGCAGCCCAAAGCGCGGGGCTATTGAAATGCCGTGAGCCACCATGAACCTCGACGACTCAAACGGGTGATGAGACCAACGAGTGCGACTGCGCAAGCATGGGGCACGTGACATGAAACTACCCCGCTGGAAGGTGAACCTGCGGCCAACTACGGGGCCTTAGGGCAGTTTGTTGTTCTTTTCTGGGGGGAATGCAAATGTGTTGGTATGGGCGGCTGGCGAGCAGGTTTGCACTGTCATGCCCAGACAAGCACAAATAATTTGACTGATTTGTTTGCTTTCGTTTTCACTTTGGAACGTTTGGAATCAAGGACCGGAAGAGTGAGCTCACAGAAAATGCCTGTGGCTGCGGCTGTGATGGAAGGAGGGGCATGCGTTGTTCGTTGTTCATAGCAGGCATTGGTTTATCAAGTGGTCAGCGGCGGCCTTGCTGCTCTGCTCTGACACTTTTCAAGTTACAGTGGATGTACAGGCATCAGCAGCAGCACGCTCAACGTGCACTGCTCCAGTTGCAGTTCTAGTCTTGATAGGTGGTTTTGTCAGGCCTGATGAGGTGTGGCAGTGCCGGGTTCGCAAATTAGCTCGGTGCAAGTTTTGCAGCATAGTTCCGGTGATGAGGAAGGCTGAGGAAGGCATAGGAAGACCTACTGGTACTGACAGCAAGACGTCGGCCTAGGAGCAAGCCTAAGTTTCGAATCATCACCGGGCAAACGCTGGCTTACGGCCGTTCTGCTGCAAAATGTGACATCCGTGTCTTGTGTACCGGCTGCAATCAGCTGCACATTGCAGGGGCCTTTTCCTTTGGGCAGATGCCTTGAAGAGGCCCTCTGTTTTTGAAGGCTTGGGGAGCAGTTCGTTTTTGATTTGGACCTATGTCAACGTATGGCTGTGCATCTTGTCCCGAAGTGTGCTCAAACTTCTCAAACAATTCGGCCAGTTCTCAGAATTTTGCTTAACCGGTGGAAAGCAGTCTTGATTGAGAGCGATGTTGAAGGGAACGGCACGGTCAGATGACTTGCACGAATTCGCTGCATGTTTAACCTTCCCAGCTCAGACGGTCGGTCGGCGCGGGAGGTTCAGCGCGTAAAGCCAGGGGGGGGCACGGGGGTGGTACACCGCCCGATCGACAGTTGCTGGACGTAGTTTTCCAGTTTGTAGGATGCCAGGCCCGGTGACATGACCGCACAGCGACACCCTTTCCAGGGTGAGGCCTTTTCGATGCGAGATTGGAATGAGCAGCTCGGCTTCCTGGAGACTTTCGGGATGTGAAGGCTTGCCAGGGCTGTCAGGGGGCCCAAGTTCCTCGTGCTTTTCGCAGAGATCTGCCAACACCTAGGTCTGGTGTTGGCGCCCGGCAAAGTCCGTTACAGGCAAGTCTGCATCAGTGCATCTGTGCACCAGTGGATGCAGAGGCATGCAGAGGCTTCAGGCCGTTTGGGCAGCGTTTTCGGTTTGGAGCTCTAGGAGCGGCTTCTGTGTGCTGTGAGAGGGAAGCTGCAAAGAGAAGCCAAAAGTTGCTACAAGTTGCTTTGCAAAGTGGCTTTTGTGACGAAGCTAGATTGCACTATGAAGCGCAGGCAGCTTTAGAAGCCGTCGAGCAGCTGTGCAGGGCTGACAAGGCGTGAGTTCCTTTCGAAGGAGGCTGCAGGGAAGACAAAAAGTTGCAACAAAGCACCGAGCCCCTGCATGCCCCTGCATGGATGGCCCCGCATACTGCATCAATGCTAAATACTCTCATGTGACTCATGTGCTCTCTTGGGCGCTGCATTTCCGCAGGTTGAAGGCTACAGTGTCCTACAGTGTCCATCAGTGCCCTTAGAGGTTACTAGGAGCTTGGCGGCATCATGGTCAAGCTTGACGGGCGATGCTTATGTGTGAGGTGCTCAGGGAGGCTGTGTGAGGCTGTGTGAGACTCTTTGAGGCTGTGTGAGGTTGTGTGACCCGGCGTCAGCAGCTTTAAGCGAAGCCATCAGTGATCATTGGTCCGATTGTCCACGCTGATGGCATGCGAAGGTCCAGCAGTGCTGCTGCATCAAACTGCCGCCTTCTCCTGCGGGGCTCCTACAGTGTCCTGCAGTTTCAGGGTAGGTTGGCTTGTTGATGTGATTTCTGGAAAGGTTGGTGTCGCTGATCACATCCGCCAAGTGGTCACCACCCTCCCAACGCAAGGTGGATGGGTGGATGCGAGGGGCTGGTTCACCGCAAGAATCCCCTGCCACAAAAAGCAATGTCATAGTGGTGTTATGATGGTCCATACTGTGCGTGTTCCGCATGGCACGCTATGGCACCAAGATGCACCAAGTTGGCCAGGGTGTGATGCATCGCTGTTTGAAGAGAGGCTGGAAGCAATGGGGGCAATTCTAGTGAAAGTCGCTCGAGTTGAAGTATTGCTAGTTGTAAACTTGGCATGGCCTCGCCGCAGCATATGCCGCAGCCACCTGTCTTTGCTTTGGTATGCTTCACATGGGCAGGTCGTGCACACCACCAAGAAGCAGTGAGGTCCCCTCGAAGAGTTTTGGCTGCAGCTGCGCGGTGTGAGGTTCGAAGGAATGTACTTTTTCCTTAATGCGAAGTTCGCTTTTCTAACGTTGCTTCCGAGGCCCGTTGGCGTGATCACATCACTGGGAGCAGGACAACGACACGAAAAGCCCAGGCGATAGGAGCAGCTTGGAGCGTTGATGTTTCGGAAAGTTTCGGTTATCTTGGTGCGTCGAGCGCCTGGCAGTTTACTGAGAGCTCGGCTCTCGGCTGGCGAGCATGTGACGCAAGCGGCACGTGCTCATACGAGCTCCATGCCTGATGGTGTTCTGATCACTTTGGGGCGCCGGGTATTCTTATTTCGCAGCATTGCACTGTCATGCCCAGACAAGCACAAAGAAATTTGGCTGATTTGTTTGCTTTCGCTTTCACTTTCTTGTGGAACGTTTGGAATCAAGGAACGGAAGAGTGAGCTCACAGAAAATGCCTGTGGTTGCGGCTGTGATGGACGGAGGGGCTTGCGTTGTTCGTTGTTCATAGCAGGCATTGGTTTATCAAGTGGTCAGCGGTGGGTTTGCTGCTCTGCTCTGAAACTTTGCAAGTTACAGTGGATGTACAGGCATCAGCAGCAGCACGATGAGCAGTTCTAGTCTTGATAGGTGGTTTTGTCAGACCTGATGAGGTGTGGCAGTGCCGGGTTCGCAAATTAGCTCGGTGCAAGTTTTGCAGCATAGTTCCGGTGATGAGGAAGGCTGAGGAAGGCATAGGAAGACCTACTGGTACTGTCAGCAAGACGTCGGCCTAGGAGCAAGCCTAAGTTTCGAATCATCACCGGGCAAATACTGGCTTACGGCCGTTCTGCTGCAAAATGTGACATCCGTGTCTTGTGTACCGGCTGCAATCAGCTGCACATTGCAGGGGCCGTTTCCTTTGGGCAGATGCCTTGAAGGGGCCCTCTGTTTTTGAAGGCTTGGGGAGCAGTTCGTTTTTGATGTGGACCTATGTCAACGTATGGCTGTGCATCTCGTCCCGAAGTGTGCTCAAACTTCTCAAACAATTCGGCCAGTTCTCGGAATTTTGCTTAACCGGTGGAAAGCAGTCTTGATTGAGAGCGATGTTGAAGGGAACGGCACGGTCAGATGACTTGCACGAATTCGCTGCATGTTTAACCTTCCCAGCTCAGACGGTCGGTCGGTGCGAGTGGTTACACCTTGCAGCGTTCAGCGGGTAAAGCCAGGGGAGTCTTGGTTTTTGTCTTGTTTCTAGGTGTGCGTGGCTGCT